CCCTCATGACTCGTGGACTTCAACTCCCAGAATTCCTGAGCCAGCATGGGGGAACTATGGACCCCTCATGACTCGTGGACTTCAACTCCCAGAATTCCTCAGCCAGCGTGGGGGAACTATGGACCTCTCATGACTCGTGGACTTCAACTCCCAGAATTCCTGAGCCAGCATGGGGGAACTATGGCCCCTTCATGACTCGTAGACTTCAACTCCCAGAATTCCTGAGCCAGCATGGGGGAACTATGGACCCCTCATGACTCGTGGACTTCAACTCCCAGAATTCCTGAGCCGGCATGGGGGAAGTATGGCCCCTTCATGACTGGTGGACTTCAACTCCCAGAATTCCTCAGCCAGGCACACTGAGGGGAAAGGGAGAGGTTTCCAAGCTGAGCCATGCTGGCTCAGGAATTCTGGGAGTTGAAGTCCACAAGTCATAAAAGAGCCAAGGTTGCCTAGCCCTGGCCTTGGAGGTGAAAGGAACAGAGGCCTCAACCTTTTATCAGCCCCCACTTGAAGGAACAAGCATTCCTGTTTGCCTACTTACTCGGCTTGAGCAGGGGGTTGGACTAGAAGACCTCCGAGGTCCCTTCCAGCTATGCTATTCTGTTAATATAGGTGATTTGTATCAACACAGTTGAGGATAACCAACAAAAAAAAGCCTCCCCCCCCAATGGCATTTTGAACTATTAAACCAAGAGATTGTGCTGGCTATAATAACCTGGACCACCAAAGTAGCATGTGAAAAAATAAAAAAGGTAGGGAAAAAAGACCAATTAGTTGATTTTAAAGGAAATAATGAGCCAATTTGCATCTTCCGTGCCTGCAATTAAATATGTGTATGGGGTTTCCTGCCTGAGCAGGGGGTTGGACTAGAAGACCTCCAAGGTCCCATTCTATCCATATTCTATTCTATTCTCTATTCTCTATTCTCTATTCTATATTCTATTCTATATTCTATTCTATATTCTATTCTATATTCTATCCTATTCCATATTCTATTCTATTCCCTATTCTATTCTATTCCATTCCACTCCATATTTTCTATTCTATTCTATTCTATTCTATTCTATTCTATTCCTTATTCTATTCTATTCCCTATTCTATTCTGTTGTTCTCTTCCGTTCCGTTCTGTTCCATTCCATTCCATCCATATTCTATTCTATTGTTCTGTTCTGGTCCGTTCCATTCCATAATTCTACTCTATCTAATTCTTATTCTTTATTCTATTCCATTTCATTCCTTTCCATAATTCTACTCTACTCTATTTCTATTCTACTTCTATTCTATTCCATTCTTCCATATTTCTACTCTACTCTACTTCTATATTCTATTCTATTCTATTTCTATTCTATATTCTTATTCTATTTTATTCTATATTCTCTTATTTTATTCTATTCTATTTTCTATATTCTATTCTATACTCTACTCTACTTTACTCTATTCTAGTCTATATTCTATTCTATATTCTATTCTATATTCTTATTCTATTCTATTCTATATTCTCTTATTCCATTCTATTATTCCATTCTATTATTCCATTCTATTATTCTATTCTATTCTATTCTATTCTATTCTATTCTATTTTCTCTTCTTCTATTCCATTCCATTCCATTTATCTTGCACCCCTTTTCTGTTCTTTGCACAATATCGCACATCCTGAAAGGCAACAGCATGATGGGTATGCAAGTATATGTGCCTCACCCTTCTTTTTCGGGCCCAGGCACCGTCCCCGTGTTGGTAGATCCGGGCACGGAAGCAATGGGGGTGCCGACGCTGCGGAGGTTCTGGATCACCGCGGAGAGGAACTGCTGACTGGCGCTTTCGTACAAGTCGAAACAGATCTGGTAAGCCATGAGGAGGTTGTCCTCCTTCACCAGCTTCTCCAGGATGTCGCTCACGGCTTGTGGGTCATCCAAGAAAATGAGACACTGCAGGAGGGAGGCCAAAGACCAAGACTCAGAAGATGGCAGCAGTGATGCCTTACTCCTTACAGGCAGCGCTCGAATTACAACCGTTCATTTAGTGACCGATGTCGTGACGGCAGTGAAAAAAACGACTTAAGCAGGCTGGAACCACGGGGAAAAACCAATCCCCTTTTATTATTCACAGACCCGAGTCCATGTCCAAGGCAAACAAAACACAGTTCACAGACACTTGATTCCTTAACACAAACCGTTGCCTTCCGCCACCAGCACCTCCCATACCTTCCCTTTTATAATTCAGCCCAAGGCATGGCTTCCTAATGCCTTCTCCTTTGCCGCCGCCCCATTGCATTCCTCTGTCCTACTCGCTTCTCTTGCATCTGGGATTTGCCCCCAGCTGTTCTTCAGCACTGTCCAGCTCAAGCTCCCAGCACAGCTGTGTCTCAGCCTAAGCGCGAGTAGAGGGGCCAGGCTCCTCGTCCAACTGTAAGTCTTGGAGCTCCTCAGAGCCTTCCTCGGACTCTGATGAAACTCCAGGCCCCTCCTCCTCCTCCGATTCCCCTGACTGAACTGCCGGGTCCACTGGCTGGCGAGGAATCACACCACCATTCCTCCCGCCTTTGTGCAAGCGTTCACAAAAACCTGCCCTCTTACCTGGCAGACGTTGATGAAATCAGGCTTCTCCAGGTTCATGTAAATTTTCACCAAAACTCTTAGCACCTGATTGCGGAACTGTTTATTTTGCATCAAAGACATGCAAAGCTTCAAGCTGTAGGCCAGCATTCCGGGAACATCGTTCTGTTATAAACCGCAGGAAAAAAAAGAGTCACGTGATTTTTCTCCAATGATTAGTGGGTTTAAAGCAACCTTCACGTGAAATGTTAATACCACTTTACAAGGCTTTGGTAAGGCCACACTTGGAATACGGCATCCAGTTTTGGTCACCGCGATGTAAAAAAGATGTTGAGACTCTAGAAAGAGTACAGAGAAGAGCAACAAGGATGATTAGGGGACTGGAGGCTAAAACATATGAAGAAGAGTTGCTGGAATTGGGTATGTCTAGTTTAATGAAGAGAAGGACGAGGGGGGACATGATAATGTTCCAGTATCTCAGGGGTTGCCCCAAAGAAGAGGGAGTCAAGCTATTCTCCAAAGCGCCTGAAGGCAGGACAAGAAGCAACGGATGGAAACTCATCAAGGAGAGAAGCAACCTGGAACTAAGGAGAAACTTCCTGACCGTTAGGACAATTAACCAGTGGAACAACCTGCCTCCAGAAGCGGTGAATGCTCCAACACTGGAAGTTTTTAAGAAAAGACTGGACAGCCATTTGTCCAAAATGGTATAGGGTTACCTGCCTCAGCAGGGGGTTGGACTAGAGGACCTCCAAGGTCCCTTCCAACTCTGTTAAACATCAATATCCAACAGGCTTAGGGCAAACGTTGAGAAAAGGCGACATGAGACAACACCAATCAAGAAAGTCACTCCAAAATGGCTTCAAGTAATAATTCCTATTGCAAAATTACCAATGTTAACAATTAGATCAGGGTCCCAAAGACGCTTTTTTTTTCACTTCCTTGTCTTTCTTTGAAGATGTTTCGCTTCTCACTCAAGAAGCTTCTTCTGACTGGATGGTGATGAAGCTTCTGGGATGGAAACTTCTTCAAAGAAAAACAAGAAAGTCCAGGTGCCCCGTGAAAAAGCACCTTTGGGACAAAGCATGACCTGGATGACTGAGCATCTCCATAGACAATTAGATCACGGGGTGTCCAACCTTGGCAACTTTAAGAGCTGTGGGTTTCAACTCCTAGAATTCCCCAGCCAGCCAACCATGCTGGCTGGGAAATTCTGGGAGTTGAAGTCCATAAGACCTGTGGACCTGTGGGAGTTGACGTCCATAAGACCTGTGGAAGTCCATAAGACCTGTGGGAGCTGAAGTCCATAAGACCTGTGGACCTGAGGGAGCTGAAGTCCATAAGACCTGTGGACCTGTGGGAGTTGAAGTCCGTAAGACCTGTGGAAGTCCATAAGACCTGTGGACCTGAGGGAGCTGAGGTCCATAAGACTTGTGGGAGTTGAAGTCCATAAGACCTGTGGAAGTCCATAAGACCTGTGGACCTGAAGTCCATGAGACCTGTGGACTTGTGGGAGCTGGTCCATAAGACCTGTGGATCTGTGGGAGTTGAAGTCTGTAAGACCTGTGGACCTGTGGGCGTTGAAGTCCATAAGACCTGTGGACCTGCGGGAGCTGAAGTCCATAAGACCTGTGGGAGTTGAAGTCCATAAGACCTGTGGAAGTCCATAAGACCTGTGGACCTGAAGTCCATGAGACCTATGGACTTGTGGGAGTTGGTCCATAAGACCTGTGGATCTGTGGGAGTTGAAGTCCATAAGACCTGTGGACCTGAGGGAGCTGAAGTCCATAAGACCTGTGGACCTGCGGGAGTTGAAGTCCATAAGACTCCATTTATTTTTATTTTTATTTTGGTTTTTTCCTCCCCCTGGTGCCCAGAGCTGCTGCTGTGAGATGGGCACCATATAATTTGCATAAATAAAACACGCAACACACTTAAAAGTGATATATACGTATCCCACACGGGACCTCTTCACAACATCCCAGGGTTCACCTACCGATTCCAGAATGGTTTTCTCAAAGATGTCCAGCCTCCGGGTCTCCAGGGCGATGCCGATGGCCTGCTTGTACTTGTGATCGTCTAAGCAGCGCTGAAACATCTTGTTTACAATCCCTTCCAGACGAGGGTCCACGGCTTTCTGCGCCCCTTCCGCCAAGTCCGCATTTTCCACACACTGTTTGGTGTAGTGGTCGATGCATTTCGCTGAGAAAAGAAATAATAATAATAATAGTAATAGTAATAGTAATGATGATGGTGATGATATAATAATAATAATAATAATAATAATAATAATAATAATAATAATAATAATAATAATAATAATAATAATAATAATAATAATAATAATAATAATAATAATGTTGGAAGGTACCTTGGAGGTCATCTAGTCTAACCCCGCTTGGCAGGAAACTCTATACCATTTCAGAGAAATGGCTGTCCAGTCTCTTTTTAAAAACCTCCAGTTTTGAAGCATTCACACCTTCTGGAGACAAGTCGTTCCACTGATTAATTGTTCTGTCAGGAAATGTCTTCTTAGTTCTAGGTTGTTTCTCTCCTGGATTGGTTTCCATCCATTGCTTCCTGTCCTGCCTTCTGATGCTTTGGAGAATAGCTTGACTCCCTCCTATTTGGGGCAGCCCCTCAAATACTGGAAGACTGCTACTATGTCCTTCTCTTCATTAAACTAGGCATACCCAATTCCAGCAACCGATGGTCAGGGAACTGGAGGCTAAAACGTATAAGGAACAGTTGCTGGAATTGGGTATGTCTAGTTTAATCAAGAGAAAGATGAGGGGAGACAAGATAGGGGTGTTCCAATATCTCAGGGGCTGCCCCAAAGAAGAGGGAGTCAAGCTATTCTCCAAAGCGCCTGAAGGCAGGACAAGAAGCAACGGATGCAAACTAATTCAAGAGAGAGAAGCAACCTGGAACTAAGGAGAAATTTCCTAACAGTGAGAACAATGAACCAGTGGAACAGCTTGCCCCCAGAAGCTGTGAATGCTCCAACACTGGAAGTTTTTAAGAAGAGCCTGGACAGCTATTTGTCTGAAATGGTATAGGGTTTCCTGCCTGAGCAGGGGATTGGACTAGATGACCTCCAAGGTCCCTTCCAACTCTGTTAGTCTAATTTTTACAATACTACCAAGAACCCTCGGTAGTTCCTTGATTAGGCTACTTGATTATTTGTGTGAGTTGGGTGTTCCTTGATTAGTCCCTTCCAACTTTATTACTATTATTATTACCCATAATTAAGCATTTTGTGAATTGTTTGCACAGGCCGTTGAATTTGGATAGCCAGGCCAAAGGCCTTTCCAGTTTCACAGGACCCAAGACTTACCGATAATGGTTTCTACATATTCCGAATTGTCGTTGACGTTGAAAAGATTGCCGGCTCCCAGGGCATAATTCAGGGATTCTTCAAAAGCCCCTAAGTGATAGAACACTTTCGAAGCCACCAAGGCGGCAAATTCCCGACTACGAAACCCAACATCTTCGTACAGAATTTCACTGCGGGGAAAGCAAGGAAGAAAAGATTGGTTGCACTGCAGCCCTGGGTGAACCTAAGGGTTCCCTTTAGCATTTCAACTAGCCCAGGGGTAGGCCACCTGGGCTCTTTTATGACTCGTGGACTTCAACTCCCAGAATTCCTGAGCCAGCCATGCTGAGGGGAAAGGGAGAGGTTTCCAAGCTGAGCCATACTGGCTTAGGAATTCTGGGAGTTGAAGTCCGCGAGTCATGAAGGGGCCGTAGTTCCCCCCATGCTGGCTGAGGAATTCTGGGATTTGAAGTCCATAGTTCCCCCATGCTGGCTGAGGAATTCTGGGAGTTGAAGTCCATGAGTCATGAAGGGGCCATAGTTCCCCCATGCTGGCTGAGGGATTCTGGGAGTTGAAGTCCACAAGTCATGAGGGGACCATAGTTCCCCCATGCTGGCTGAGGGATTCTGGGAGTTGAAGTCCACAAGTCATGAGGGGGCCATAGTTCCCCCATGCTGGCTGAGGAATTCTGGGAGTTGAAGTCCACGAGTCATGAGGGGGCCATAGTTCCCCTATGCTGGCTGAGGAATTCTGGGAGTTGAAGTCCACCAGTCATAAAAGAGCCAAGATTGCCTACCCCTGAACTAGCTGCTCAGAAAAAGGGACAAGATACAATTTTGGCCCGTGCTTTCAGATGAATTTGAGGTCTTTCCGCTTACATTTTATCCACCGATTCAGAGATCTCGGCCCAAAAGTCATTGACCACTGCGTTCAGTTTGTGGAGAGCAAATTCCTGTCAAAAGAACAAAAAAACACTGATTTTAGACTTGCAAGTAGCTGGCAGGGCAAAAGAGCAAGGCCCCCTCGGGCACAAACGGCCTTTCCATTTCAATTCGGTGGCCTTGTGCTTGTCAAAGAGAATGAAAAAAACAACAACATAAGCCTACCTTGAGTTCTGGCTCCTCCTCATCCAGAAGGGAAATTATTCCAGCTGCAAAAAAAAAGAAAGAAAGAAAGAAAGAAAGAAAGAAAGAAAGAAAGAAAGAAAGAAAGAAAGAAAGAAAGAAAGAAAAAAAAAAGGTTAATTAAATATCACACAGAATTTATACTTTAAAATAAGCAGGGTTATTTTCAGAATTGCTACAGCAAAGGGAATCAATGTGATTTGCAAATGCATTTACAGCATGAGATATTAGAACAGGGGTCTTCAAACTTGGCCCTTTTAGGACTCGTGGACTTCAACTCCCAGAATTCCTCAGCCAGGCCTGCGTGCCTGGCTGAGGAATTCTGGGAGTTGAAGTCCACATGTCCTAAAAGGGCCAAGTTTGAAGACCCCTGTATTAGAACTTCATTTTGATATTTACAATTAGTGGGAGATAGCACTGGGAGATCATGAATTCTAGTCCTGTCCAAGGGTGAGTGATTTGGGGCCAGTCTGCCCCTCTCAGCCCTAGGAAGAATGCAATGGGAATCCATTTCTAAAAAAGATGTCACCCAGAAAAAAAAATCAAGGCTGACTCAGAACATAATAACAACATTCTAACACAAGCTAAGCTAAAATGAACAAGACCTGGACAACAACAACAACGCATGCAAATCCTAGCGAGTTTTTGGTCCTCAATTAACAGGTAAATCAATGGCTCCAAAACAGAAAATGATTATCAGAAGAGAGTTAATTTCAAGTTCTATTTATTCTGATCCACTCCTTCATCACCAAGTTATCGTGTGCCCTGTTTCCATGCACAGTATTTATGATTTAACTTCACTTTCTAAGGTTTGTAAGCGGCTTCTCCTTCTGGAAAATAATGCAATGAGTTTATGCTTTCCAGAAAAGCACAATAGTAAAAAATACTTTTTGTAAAAGTAAAAAAAAAACCCGACTTGATGGTTCTGACGGCAGAGACCTAGAAACTAGACTGGAAAATCATTTCTCAGGGTTTTTGAAAATATGGCAGATTTGTGAAAATATTGTCCCCCCCAAAAAACCCCATTTCTTCTTCTAGATGGCTATGCCAGGCTTCACTATTCTGTATCCTTCTTAAGACTTTGATTCCCATCTTATGCAAGCTAAAGATTATGGGAATTGAATTCCAATATAAAAAGGCTTAATAGAGTCCTTGGCTGTATAAACGAAGGGATAGAATCAAAACCACGGGAAGCATTAGTATCGCCTTATAAAACCTTGGTAAGGCCACCCCTGGAATAAGATATCCAGTTTTGGTCACCACGATGTAAAAAAGATGTTGAGAGATGTTGAAAGAGTACAGAGAAGAGCAACAAGGTTGATCAGGGGGCTGGAGGCTAAAACATATAAGGAACGGTTGCAAAAAGGTAACAAAAAGATGTTGAAACTTTGGGAAAAAGTGCAAAGAAGAGCAGCTAAGATGATTAAAGGCCTGGATATGAAGAACGGATATGAAGAATGGTTGCAGGAACTGAGAATGGCCAGTCTAGAGAAAAGAAGGACTAGGGGGGGGACATGATAGCAGCATTCCAATATTTGAGGTGCTACAAAAAAGAACTTATTTTCCAAAGCACCAGAAGGCAAGAGAAGAAACAACGGATGGAAACTAATCAAGGAGAGAAGCAACCTGGAATTAAGGAGAAACTTCCTAACAGTGAGGACAATTAACCAGTGGAACAGCTTGCCTCCAGAGGTTGTGGATACTTCATCACTGGAGGCTTTTAAGAAGAGACTGGACAGCGACATGTGTGAAATGGAACAGGGTCTCCTGCTTGAGCAGGGGGCTGGACTTGAAGACCTCCAAGGTCCCTTCCAACTCTATTCTGATTCTGATTCTAAACATCTGAATGACACACGATCGAGAAAATCTGGATATTCCGGACCCTATTATTCAGTAAACAAGCAAGGAGACCAGGTTGGGTAAGCAGAGGAAACAATATATCCTAGCCATATCGGTTATAGCTAATATACTACCAGGTGAAGAGCTGCATTAGCACCATACATTTCACTATAGCTTGGTTTACTGCATCAACTTTGCCAGCAGTTAGAAGACATGGTGAAAATTCACAGAATTAACCATAGTTTCAACTGGGAAACTGAGCATCCTAGAGCAAGTTAAATCCCAAAAACCACTAGGGAATTCCTGGAAGCTTGGCATTCAAACAAATAAACATAAGCAGACACCTAGAGATAAACAATCTCTACACACCATTCAAAACAGATGATCAAAAAGATAACAAAAACACCAACATAAGCCCTCACCAGCTATCAGCATCCAAATAAGCAGAGATTAATGCCAGAATTAATACCCACACCAACAATCAAGCTGTAACCAATACTCCAATCAAGAAATTGCCAACTCACACAAATAATCAAACGGCCTGATCAAGGAGCTACAAAGAACATTTCCACCAACACTGACAGGGTAAGCCACATATACATCATAAACAGAGCACAAAACTGTCTCCCTCCTAGCATTAATGATGTTGCCTAGTTGGGTGATTAAACATTGGCAAGAAAACCACCGAGCTCAGAAAGCACCAAGGATCCCACAGCCCTGCTTCCTCCTCCTTCTAGCACTGATGATGTTACCTACTTGGGTAATGAAATGTCTGCACCAAACCACCAAGCTCAGAGAGCACCAAGGACCCCACAGTTCTCCTTCCCTTCCTCCTTCTTCTCTTCCTCCTTCTTCCCCTTCATTTTATCCTCTTTCTCTTCCTCCTCCTCCTCCATTACTTAAACTGCACCCCTCCTAGCACTGATGATGTTATCTAGTTGGGTAACAAAACAATCCTTGTTTCATTTATACAGTGCTTGGTTATATAAACAGAGGCATAGAATCAAAAGCATGTGAAGTGTTAGTACAACTTTATAAAGCCTTAGGAAGGCCACGCCTGGGAGTTGAAGTCCACAAGTCATCAAAGGGCCAAGTTTGAAGACCCCTGCTATAGGGTCTCCTACTTGGACATGGTTGGATTAGAACAAGGGTAGACTGTTCCATGCTGGCTGAGGAATTCTGGGAGTTGAAGTCCACAAGTCATCAAAGGGCCAAGTTTGAAGACCCCTGTCTTAGATCTAGGTCAGGGGTCCTCAACTTGGAGTTGAAGTCCACAAGTCTTAAAGTTGCCAAGGTTGAGGACCCCTGATCTAGGTCTCCCAAGCGTGGCCCCCAGTGGTCTCCAACCGTGGCAACTTTAAGACTTGTGGACTCCAACTCCCAGAATTGCTCAGCCAGCGTGTCTGGCTGAGGGATTCTGGGAGTTGAAGTCCACAAGTCATAAAAGGGCCAAGTTGGAACCCCTGGAGTAAGGGAATCCAACCTTAGCCACTT